ATCCACAACTTCTCTGGGCAATTTATTCCAAAGTCTTACCACCCTCGTACTGAAGAATTTCTTCCTAAGATCTAATCTAAATCTGTTCTCCTTCAACTTAAACCCATTTCCCCTTGTCCTATCAGTGGACACTCTTGTAAAAAGTCCCTCCCCAGCCTTCCTGTAAGTTCCCTTCAGGTATTGGAAGGCAGCTATTAGGTCCCCCCAAAGTCTCTTTTCAAGGCTGAACAACCCCAGCTCCCGCAACCTGTCCTCGTAGCAGAGGTGCTCCAGCCCCTGGATCATCTTTGTGGCTCTCCTCTGAACACACTCCAACAGATCTATGTCTCTCTTATGGTGGAGACACCAGAACTGGACGCAGTATTCGAGGTGGGGTCTCACAAGAGCAGAGTAGAGGGGTAGAATCACCTCTCTTGACCTGCTGACCATGCTTCTCTTGATACATCCCAGGATGTGGTTGGCCTTCTGGGCCGCATGAGCGCACTGCGGGCTCATGTTGAGCTTCTCATCTATAAACACCCCCAAATCCTTCACTTCAGGGCTACTCTCAACCCACTCTGTGCCCAGTTTGTATTTGTGCCTAGGATTGGCCCGACCTAGGTGAAGGACCTTGCATTTTGACTTGTTGTGCATGACAGTCAATAAACAGCACATGTAGATCTGTAAACATCTGTATCATTCTATGTGCAAAGTCTACCTGTGTATATTACATGGTACTAATTTAAATTATACAGTTGCCACAAGATTATTCTGAGATAAATATCTCATGATATCTAGTGTATTGTGTCATAATTAATCTGTGAGTTCTAGCAAATTGAAATATCACTTACCATTGTCTTTATCTGCGTTTCGCAAGTGAGGGTGGCAGATTAGTTTGTAGGGCAGCCATGGCCGTGTAATTACATGATCACAAATGACCATCTGTTGTTACAATCATTGTCTGATTATTTACTTTGCAGATTGCATGGTAAAAATGCAGCATTAACAGTGATAATGAAAAATTGATTGAGATAAATGAGTTATTAATAATCTGTTATGAGTAATACATAAACTACAGGGGTATCTTCATAAAATGCATTATCAGTGACAGCTGTTTCTTGCTATGGTATAGGGCCAGATCCTGAGCTGCTGAGAAACATGCGCACTTAGAGAAACTGAATGAGTCCATTTACATATGCCTTCTAAATAGTTTCATGAAGTTAATCTATTTACCTGACACCATGCTACGTCAACAGACAGTATCATTGGCAGTTAAAATGTAGAAAAGATACAAGGCACAGAAGACACACTCCTCTGGTTTCTGGTAGATATTGTCTGATGTAATTATGTAGGTCTAATGGATGCAACAGTCTGAACCATCTAAGACAAGACTTCTATAGCTAGTAACACAGACTGAACAAATGTTCACTCCCAACACATTGTACCCCACCACAGACTCTTTCTTGCCTACTGGCAGCAACATTCTTCAAAATTCTGTGAGTTCTAGTGCCTGTCTCCTCCTGTAATAACTCTGAGAGGACTACTCTGTGAATTAATATTCAGGGTGCCAAAGCTGGGAGGTAAGGAGGTCAGACCTACTAATGGTTTCCCAAGAAGCTCCCGTATTTGCACATTTCCATAGCTTGCGTAAGCGGTGATGGAGTGAACAGCACTCCTTTTCTCCTGTGTGTGCAATGTAGCAATTCTTTTAAATCACTCAGCTCAATGAAAGCTATATTTGTATAGCTGATTTAGGCTTTTGTGTCCCTCAAGTTTAAGTTTTGTCTCTTTCTCCTTTTTTTTTTCCCAGTTCTGAAAAAAAAACCCTGATATTAGAGTTCTAAAATATATTTGTGAAAATATTACTGCTTCAAGCAGCATTAAAATATTACTTATACTCTATGTGTAACACAATCAGTGTTTCTGTAGCACAGCTATCTTTCCATCTGCTACAATTCAAAATACAGCTTCACCCTGCAGCAATGTAATTTGCACTTTTTGTTTCCTGCGTGCATAGGGGAAGATTCCACGTGCAAGCATTTTCTTTCCTAATCACTGAAATGTGGTGTCAAAGCCAGTGAACCTCCACCTTTCTCATTGTAATTATCCTTAAAACTTTCACACAAATTTCACTGCAATATACTTACCCAAATGAAATAACAGACTGAGTTAATTTTTATCCTTCATAATTAACCAAAAAGATGTTTCTAAAATAACTTCAATTGGATCACCTTCTCCCTCTAAAT